TCAAAGACGTCCTTTATCATGTTTCTCACAGTCATGAATGGGCATCATCTCTCAGTTAAGTTCTCATCCACTACATCCAAGTGGCACTTGGAATGTGGGAAGAGCTTCAGCAACAGCTCCATCTTCATCACCCAGCAGCGCCTGCACAGCAGGGAGAAGCTGTACAAGTGTCCCGAGTGAGGGAAGACTCAGCTGCTCAGATGGAGCAGCTTCCATCTCATCGAGCATCAGCAGATCTACACGGGGGAGAGGCCCTTCTGCCGCCCCAGTTGCAGGAAGAGCTTCAATTGCAGCTCCTGTCTCGTCACCCACTGGCACATTCACACTGGGGAGAGGCCCTACAAGTGCCCTCAGTATGGGAAGAGCTTCGTCATGAGCTCTGCCTTAACCAAACACCAGTGGACGCAGCAGTAAGGGAAGCCCCACGAAGCCCAAACTGCAGAAAGAGCTTTGTCCTCTGCTCCAACTTCATCACCCAGTGGAGGTCACAGGTTGATGGCCCACCTGGTGGCCCATGGTACCAGTGTTCCACGTTGGGAAGATGACATGCTGGTGGTCTCCACATCCTGCTCGTTCCCCAGAGGCACCTGTATGAATGCAGGGGCAGGAACATCCATTGGGATGTGGACTGATGTCAGAAATTCGTTGGGAGGAGCGGATTTGTTGACTTTAGACCCCAGAAATATCACCTGCTCCATCCAGTCATTTCTCCTGGTGGTATCAAGGAACTCTGGATTATCTTGAAGGTCCTATCCAACCTATACAATTCCATGATTCTAATTCTCTATTGCCCACAGGCATCTTTCACCTCCCAATGATGATGGGGGAAAAACCCATATTTTGGAGAAACGGGGGTGGAAACCCCTCCAAAAAAGGTACTTTCATCGATCCAACCCAACCTCACAGACACTCACACAATACCAATATGTAAATCCTTTTATTTTGGCCCTGGTTTTTCTTTTGATGCATCTTCATCCCTTAAAAACAGGCCAAAGTGGAGTAAAAATTAAAAAAAAAAATTGACAAGGACATTTAAAGCCCCTCCATTTTACAGGGATTTTGGGGTTGGGGGAAATACTCAGGCAGTTTTGGGGTTTCAGGGGAGATATAGGAGAGGTTTCCACAACACTGGGCTTGCCCAGGCCGGGTGAATGGGGCCACAGTCTCATAATTGTGCTGCCAATTTGTGTCCCCCTGAGCCCATCTGTTCTCCAGCAATTCCACTTGGCTGTTCCAGTGCCTGGCCTGGGTCTTCCCCTATGGGGTATTCCCCACGAACTGCCCAATTCAGTGGTGAAGTGCCCGAGCTGCTGCCACCTTTTCCCATTTTCCCTCAATCCTCAGCCCTCCAGACACTCAGTTTTGGGGTGCCACTCTGCTTCTCCCCTGGAAGTGGCCCAAAGGCTTTGGAGGCCTTGGTGGTGTCACCTCCCTCTACCAGATGAATCTCTGGACAGTTCCTGCCAACTCCTTTGCTGGTTGCTCCTAAGTGATCTTGTTGTCAGTTCCTAAACAGATCCTTTCAAGGGTTCCTGATTTAGAAACTAAAGCCTGACATCTTTGTCTTCCCAAAAGATGGGTGAGAAAGAGCAGTGCTGGTGAAAATCAGGAGAGGGCTTTACACTGGGGACTTGGGAGCTTTCTGTGCATCATACCTGCAACCTGGATTTCTTGAAAAAAAATCTCTTCCTCCATATGCAACACAACAGTGGGCTCTAGGGCATCCTGCCCTCAAATAGAGAACTCTAAAGATTAAGAATAAAACCCCTGCGTGGCAGCCCTGGGCAAGGTCTCGTGTGTGCCCTGCAGGCAGAGCCTTTGCTGTGAAAGGATCTGTTAACACATTTCAATATTTTAGCTTAGCTAGCCTGAGAAATTCACCTGATAAAATAATACCGATAAATATTTTTGCTTGCCTGAGAACCCTATTACCTTTAGATAAGAAATACAATTTTGTAAGTAGAAATGATGTAGGTAACGTTTATGTATCATTTAAAAGGAGTAGCCAGTCAGAAACCAGCCCCCAAGGCTGTGAATCCACCCATCCAAAAACAAAGAACAAGTTTCGAGGTTCGCAGACCTTGAGCGTGGGCCAAGTGAGGAAGACCGTGAAAAACGACCACCAAACGACCAGCAGAGTGAGTGTATTTCTTGCAAAAGTATTGTAGATGGCAGCAAAACACCATAAATTGTGACACTGATCAATAGGTGTGTTTGGGTAAAATATTTCTGAGACAAGATGAGACTGGTCAGAGCACTTATGGGAGGATTTATCCCCAGTGCGACCCAGTGCTGGCAGGAGAGATTTGGCACTTAACACTGATCAAATCTCAGTGTTAACTCTTGTTTATTCTTCACCAGTTACCCCCAGTGCTCACCAGTAACTCCCAGTAAACCCCCAGTAACCCCAGTGCCTCTCCTTGGTCCTCAGTGACTCCACCAGTAGCTCCCAGTGATCTCCCACTGCAGTAATCCCAGTGCCTCCCAGTACCTTCCCCAGTAACTTCCAGCAGCTCCCAAATGCCTCCCAGCAACTCTCAGGGCCCCCGCTTGCCTCCCAGTGCTCCCAGTAACCTTGCCCACTCCTCCCCAGTCCCCCCTCAGAGCCCTCCAGTCCCTCCCAGTAACCTCCAAGGCCTCTCAGTTACCTTTTCCAGTAGCAACCAGTGTCCCCAGTTGCCCCCAAGTAACAACCTAGCATCTCCTACTAACTTTCCACTGCCCACCAGTAACATCCAGTGTCTCCCAGTTGCCCCCAAGTTTCTCCCAGTTCCTTCTCAGCACCTTCCAGTGCTTCCCAATTGCCTTCAGCACCCACTAGTTGACTTCTGGTGCTTCCCAGTACCTCTCCCAGTAACCTCCAGTTGACTCCCAGTACCACTCCAAGGAACTCCCACGTTCCCCCACTTGCCTCCCAGTGCCTCCCAGCACATCCTAGTTGCCACCTAGTTTCTCCCAGTCCCCCCTGGTGGCCCCCAAGTCCCTCCCAATGCTCCCAGTAACCTCCAGTCCGTCCCAGTCCCTTCCCCAGCACCTGTCTCAGTAACTCCCAGCACCTCCCAGTTGCCTCCCAGTCCCTTCTCAAAGCCCCCCCGTCCCTCCCAGTGTTCCCAGTAACCTCCAGTCCCTCCCCTGTACCACTCCCAGTAACTCCCAGCACACCCCAGTTGCCTCCCAGTGCTCCCCGTTGACTCCCAGTGTCTTCCCCTGCTCCCCCCAGTCCCCTCTCAGAGCCCCACAGTCCCACCCAAGGCTCCCAGTTACCTCCAGTTCCTTCCAGTACCTCCCCCAGAAATTCCCAGCAGCACCCAGTGCTTCCCAGTGACTTCCAGTTGCCTCCCAATGATTCCCCAGCACCCACCAGTTGCCTCCCAGTCCCCCCTCAGAGCCCCCCAGTCTCCACCACTGCTTCCAGTAATCTCCATCTCTCCCCAGTACCACTCCCAGTAACACCCAGCTCCCTGCAGTTAACTCCCAGTGCTCCCAGCATCTCCCAGTTATTCCCCAGCACCCCCCAGTTGCCTCCCAGTGTCTCCCAGTCCCCCCATAGAGCTCCCCAGTAACCTCCAGTCGCTCCCAATACCACTCCCAGCAACTCCCAGCTCCACCCAGTTGCCTCCCAGTGCTCCCAGCTGCCTCCCCAGTCCCCCCTGGGAGCCCCCCAGTCCCTCCCAGTGCTCCCAGTCCCCTCCCCCTGCTGCCTGGGAGCCCCTCCAGTCCCTCCCAGTGCTCCCAGTACAAGGCCCCCTCTGTCCCCAGTGGCCCCAGGCCAGGGCCCAACAGCGGCCCCTTTGTATTGGGAGGGGGCGTGGCCACCGCTGGC